AAAATATTTTAGTATTAGTTACTAATACTAAAAGTTTCAGTTTTTTAGTATTAGTTACTAATACTAAAATTTTAGTAACTAATTTACAACCCTGGCTACGAAAGAACAACAACGGCAGAGATTTGGTCCTGCTGCTGGTCTACCCCGTTGTCGGGGGAGGCGTCGGAGGAGGCACCGAAGGTAGCTTTACCAGGGGTCTTGTCAATGCCTTCCAAGGAGACACGATTGCTGTTGTCGGAACACAGAATGCAAATGGATACACGGGCTTTAAGGGCATGACGATGGACGTGTTTATGGAACAAGAGCACCCAGAGTGGACCAAGGTGGTACAGATTCCCCTGCCAAGCTTTGCGGGCAAGGATGAAGCACTGTACGTCTTTCAGAGAGGCGACAGAGCGCCCAACAAATCAAGTTGAAGCGGGAGTGGGAGAGTCGAGTCGAGTCGGGGTTGAAGTGGAAGTGGAAGTGGAAATGAATGTGACGTGTCTCGGGACGCAAGGGGAAGGACGTACATATCATGCCTGTTCTCTGTGGATATAGAGCCCAGTGCAGTGGAAATGAGATGAATGAAATAGAAATCAAATGTGTTAAATTATCTGATGTACCTTGTTGGTTCTTTGAACGGCTATTGTCTACCTATTTCCCTTGTTAGATGAAGTCAATCTATGTGTTTCGTGAGATATAGCTCGAAAGGTCGGACAGACTGGACGCGGTGTGGACTGCGTACTCGCACTGCACACACAAGAGCCTCGGCGCTGCCCGAGTCCCATCATGGCATGGAGCCAAACAGCACATCCACGATGCATGATGATGTCTGTCCCTCGGTCCCTTGAATCGAAACACGCACAGTGGCGGAAGTAAGCTTACCTGCACTCACTCACGGGACGGGAGCCTTTATTTTCAAAAATGCATGTCGAGCACATGATTGAGGCTCTGCAGGGGAAACCGCTGGCACCGGCACTAGTGGTCGGGTCATGCTGGCCCTTTTCCTAGTCGGTGTAGAGAGACTGATGCCTGCATTGCTCTACTGTCAATGGTGTACTGTACGAGAAGAGCACAGACGCAGATGCGGATACGATGATGGCTGTGAGAGGGCGCCATTCACCCACCATCTTCCACAAGGCTGGCTGGTGTGAGTGAGAGGAAACAGCGCGCTGGGCCTAGCACTCGTATGACGGCGCGAGTTTCAACACGTTTGACCATGTGCAATCGGTGTTTATTCTTCGAGGCGCGCGCCTGTAGCTCTGCTCTGCTGTGTTTCCAAGCTGCTGATTTGTTGGGTTGCTGCAGGCAGGAGCCTCAATGTTTGAGCCGTATCGATACTATATGGCAGCACTCCAGAGCCGTCTGCTTTCGACACCGAAGAAACAAAAACTGTCAATGTTCTGCTACATGCGTGCTGTACTCGTCGGCGTCATTTCAGCTTCCCGTCGCGGTCAAATGAAAGCGATGGAAGCGATCAGCAACGATAGGCACGGCCTTGACCGCGCTCAGCTCGCTGGAACTGCCGCAGCTCGTGCAGCGGCTCTGCGCTCTAACCACGGTAGGGCGTAGCGCACATGCAGGTGGCCTGGAGTTTACTAGCAGCCCCCAGCTAGGTGCATATGCGCTGAGTCCACGGATTCTGTAACCGCCATCCGTGCTGAGAGGCTCCGGCGTCTTTTCATCCTGTCTTTTTTTTTTATTCTTCTCTCCTCCATCACCATCCTCGCCGCTTGCCATTGTCGCTGCTCGCCAGAGATCAGGTCAAGTTCTGCGCTTGTTCTCGCCGGTTCTCGACAGCTTCCGGTGGATTTCGCACTAAGCCAGCGGCTTCACAAACCCCAAAATCCAAATCCCCTCCCCCAGACGCCACCCCGCGCCCCAGCTTCCCAAGCCATGGACCATCCCGGCGCGACCATTTCCCTGTCCTCAATCACCAACCCTAGGGCCAGGTCCAGGTCTCGCGATGGCCGCTTCATCGAGGAGCCCAGGCAGTCGCGGCCTTCGTACGGCGACTCGCGCGAGTCCAGCTACGTGTACCCGGATGACGACCTGCGATCCCCTCATGGGTCTGGTGGCCATCTGCCGTACCCGAACGACGACAAGATGAAATATCTGCCACAAAAGTATGGCCGCACCCTACTCGATGACGAGGACAATCTGGCCTACGGCATGCCGGCGCCACATTCGGGCCGGCCCAGCGGCCATCGCGCCTCTCAGTCGGTGGACCTGCGAAAGCACTCGGACTCGGATCGGGACGACCCCAGGGGTCACCGACGGTCCAACACCCTGACTGTCGATGCCGCCAGCCGTGACCGCTCGCGTTCGCGGTCCAGGGACGGGCGAAGCGGCCGGGACCGGTCACCGCAGCCGCCTACCGGTCGCATGTCAACGCTGACGGTCAACACCGGCCGAGGCGCGAGCCTGTCGCTTGCCTCGGCACCGGCTTCTCCGCTGCTTGAATCATACCATGGCACATATCAGAACTGCTCGCCCATGCCCTCCCCTCTGCTGCTCGCGTCCAAGCACCCGGGAGACCTCCCGAGAGTCGTGGATGCCCTGTCGCCCATTTCTGACGGCGAAGGCGATGGCACCAGGCTCAATCGACGGGCTCGCTTCCACGATACCGAGGACATCTCCTCTCGTCTTGCACGCGCGCTAAAGGGCACTCACAAGCCCGACGTTGCGCCCTTCATTGAAATCCTCCCCAGCCTGTCGCACGAGCAAGTCATGGAGCTCCGCTCCGAGTACAAGCACATCGTCAAGACTGGCACGGACCGCAAGGGCGTCAACATCGCCAAGCACATCCGCGCCCGCTTCAAGGACGAGGATCCACTTCTCATGAAGGCATGCTACACCGTCGCTCTTGGCAAGTGGGAGAGCGAGGCCTATTGGGCCAACTTCTGGTACCAAGGCGACAAGACTCGTCGCGAGCTGCTCATTGAGTCGCTCATGGGGCGGACAAACGAAGAGGTCCGCCGCATCAAGGACTCCTTTTCCGACAAGAAGTACGACAACAGCCTGACCAAGTGCATGAAGACGGAGCTCAAGGAAGACAAGTTCAAAAAGGCCGTCTTGATGGTCCTGGATGAGCGCCGCATGGAGGAGTTTGACTACGAGGGCCGCAGGCTCCCGCTCGACTATAAGCTCATCGACCAGGACGTCGACGACCTGCACAAGGCGGTCAAATCCGAAAAGGGTGGAGAGACGTTGATGATCTCCATCGTCGTCCAGCGAAGCGACGGCCATCTGCGTGCTGTGCTCAAGGAGTACGAACACCAATACCGCAGCAACTTTGCCCGCGACGCGCTCAAGAAGAGCAACAACCTTGTGGTATGTAATTATTCTCTTTCCATGCCCCCTTTGCGAACTATCTTTCTAGAAGGCATACGAAATTCCAATGCTAACGAATGCTTCTTTCAATCCAGGGCGAACTCCTCGCACACATCCTCAACGGCGTCATCAACCGCCCCGTCCGAGACGCCCTCCTCCTGCAACACGCCATCACCGCCTCGCGCAAGGACTCGCTCCGCCGGGAGCTGCTCATCTCGCGCCTCGTCCGCTTCCACTGGGACTCGTTCCACATGCAAGACGTCAAGAGGGCCTACCGCGAGCGCTACGGCATAGACCTGCAGGATGCCGTGCGCGAGGCCACGAGTGGCGAGTGGGGGATGTTTTGCCGCGAGCTGTGCATTGCTCGGATGCCCAATGAGATACGAAGAATGGACAACACTAGGTAAGTAAATTGGTAAAAACTACATATAGATATATAGATAGATATATGTTAGTGAGATGTATGAAGTATGATGGTTTCTATTTGGTTTGATATTGTTCGAACAACACCGGTTTGGGATCGGTATGAGGCTAGGAAACGACTGACATGGCACGATTACGATTGCGTCCAATTTCCCAAGATATGACGACTATTTATAGCTATATATAGGCATATATAGATATATACATATACATATGTGCATGCTTGCTTACTTGCTCTCTTTAAACCATCTCTAGTCTACTTCTTTGATCCTTTACCCCCTTTGCCCCCCTTTCCTTGACTCTTCCCACCACTTTTACCCTTCCCGCCGCCGCCGCCGCCAGAACCACTTCCTCCGCTGGCTCCGGCCATCATGACTCTCAGCTTGCCAACCGGCACACTGTTGGCAATCTCCTCCGGCTTGAGTCCCTTGATGAGCTCAACCTCCCTGGGCCACATCTTCTCCGAATCCCTCGCCGCCTCGTCAATGACTCCCTTTCTGGCAGAGTCCGTCTTCAGCCGCTCCAGCACCTCCTTGATCGCCTTGCCCTTCTTCACGGAGCCCGGCTGCATCTTGACCTTGTACTTGTATCGAACCAGGGCGCTCCACGGCGCGCAAACGGGAAGGACTTCCAGAATCTCGTCTCCAGCCAGCGGCGTGCCAACCAACGCGTCCAGGTTCGTCGCCTTCTCTGCCTCGTCTGGCTCCCCAGCGTCCAGGCCCTCGTTCATCATGGCGCGGCGAATCTCCTCTTGCTCCGCAACCTCCTTCTGTTTCCGCTCGTGCTGGGCCCGCCGGCGCTCCTTTTGGGCTTCCAGTTCGGCCTGGCGCTGGGCTTTCGCGGCAGCTTCTGCTTCGGCCCGCTGTCGTCCTATCGTTGCTCCTATCAGTGCTTCTGCTGTGGCGCGGTCCTCTTCGTCCTGGTCCTTGTATTTCTGAGCCATCTTTTTCGCTTTTCCCTTTTGTCCACGTTTCTGGCCTCTTTTCTTTGTGGCAGCCGAGGCTCCCGTTGTATATGAAGCAATATCAGAAGCTTTGGTAGGGGCCTCAGAGATCTCGGTGGCCTGTTCGGAAGGTGTCACCTCGTCTTCCTCGATGTCATCCTCTTCTTCAATCGTATCTGCCTCTTTTTCTCCCTCTCTTAGCTCCTCTTTGGATGCATCCGTGGTCAATGGCTCAGCTTCATCGTTCTCAGGCTCGTCACTGATCCTCACAGCTGACAACTTGTCTGCTGTGTCGACTGTGGCCTCATCCTCGTCGCCAGAGCCTTGTAGGGGGTTGGCTCGTTTGTCCTCACCAGGCTGATTCTCTTCGGATTCGGCCCCCGAATCATCTGAATCATCGTTTTCTTCAACGGCTTGCAACTCATCTTCGCCTGTCGTCGCAGTCTCGGTTGTTTCCAATGAAGAGCGCTCGTCGTGTACCCGGTGTTTCAGATGCTTGCTTTTGCTTTGCTCGCTAATCTTGAACGTAAACCCCAAACCAAGCAAAAGTTGTGTCGGAGGAAGATAGTTCTTCTTTCCCTGAATTGTGAAGCTCCCAGCAGGTAGAATGTCACCCGTCGGGGTCGACTTAGATACTTGGTCCGCATTCACCCACCATCCGCCCATGCCCGCCTTGGAATCCCAGGCATCCGAGGTGCATACCGACAGTGAACCTGCCTGTGACAGAGTTGCCGGAGGAATAGGGGCATCTGGCGTATTTGGGTTATTTTTAATCACAATATGCGCAGCGCCACGGATATCGGCGTGACAGTAAATGTCTCCCTTGCGCAAATACCTTCTGTACAGGATTTCAGTCTGCTGAGGGTCTTTTCCTCCAAGGACCAAGTACCCATCCGAGGAAATGAACCAAATGAATTTCTCAAACCACATCTGCTTGCGAATGGGCTGTAACAGGGCCTTCTCCTGCTTTAATCCCTTCTTCAGATCTTCTGAGATTTTTTGCTCGGTGCTCTTCAGGGCCTTGTTCGCTTGAAGTTGAGTTTTTTCCTCCTTCATGGCAGCAGACCTTCGCTCTTCGTAGTAATCTCTTGCGGTGCTCCAGGGGCTTATGTTGAGAGCGATGTCGACGGTGAGTAGCTTGTCGCTTTTTTTATCTTTAGCTTGGGCAACTTCACTCGCCTCTGCTTCAGAATCACTGTCGTCCGTTTCGAAAGGATTATCTTCTTCCGCCTCGTCTTCATCAAACTCTTCTTCTGCGAGGAAGAGTGTAATAGTGTTTTCCGCTAGTTTCAGGGGAAGGCTGATGGTCTCAGCAACTGGATTCTGCCGTTTCTTCTCTCGCTCAATGAGCTTTCCAATATCAACCCAATCCATGCCTTGGGCGAGAAGGCCATTTACCGCATCCATGGCTTCCTGCACACGCTCCACATTGGCTTCAATTGCAGCTGCTTTGCGGAAATTCATCGCCTGTGCATCCTGTAAACCTTCGATTCGCTTGGACTGTTCGTGCCGGGCTGCTTCAAGCTTCTTCCTGGCAGCTTCTTCTCTCCCAACAAGACGAGATTCCAGCTTCTGGCCCTCTAGAGATGAAAAGAATTTATCAACCGTTCGATTATACCCTTCAAATTCTAATACTTGAATAGACGGGTCACTCTTGAACTTTTGCGGGACAAATGGATGAAAGTCTTCATAGAGCAATCCCTCATGCTTAGGGGTTTCGTCTGTCTCGTCCGTTCCGCTCGAGAGGGTGGCCTTCTTCTTTGCAAAAATGTAACCCTTGCAAGTTGTAGATGCGATAATGTTTTCAACAATATCACGAGCCTCAGACAAGTGTTTGACCAATTCGTCCAGGAGCAGCTCATTATCAACCACATCGGCCGGCTTAGCAGAGACATCAAAGTTATTTGCCTGAAGAATATTCTCAACCAGGGCAGGGGGCAGCTCTGTTATAGAAACTGCCAACGCTTTTCGCAGATCGCCACCAGCTTTGCCTTTGGCTTTCTTGCCGGAGAAAGTAGCGGCCACTGTGCTCGCTTCGGCCTTGTCGGCGGCAGTATTAAGGGCATTCCTTATCCTTTCTTTTGTCAAGGCCGGAATTCCACCAAAGTTCTGCCTATTCTCCAGGGAATACTGGAGACCAACCCCTTGTGGCTCCTGCCCCTCTCCCTCGCTGACATTGCGAGAAATGGCCAATATCTTCAAGTCGGCATCGGTGAGAATAATATTTCCACTCTAGAATAACACCATTGGTTAGCCTCGTAGAAACATGCTGACGGGGCAGCCAAGGTACAGTAATTAACTTACGGCAAAGAATTCGAGAAACATGCGATATTGGCCATCGCTAAACTGGAACTCGAGGATTCTGTCGGTCCCTACTTGCGCAACGGACGTCAACCTCCTGGTCTTGAGATATTTCCGTAGCCGGGCTACAAAGGCAGACGGTGCCGCCGCAGTCGTTCGGGCAAAGTCGGTCAAGTGGCAGCGAAATCCATTGTCGATGAGAAGTTGCTGCTTGTTATCCGGTTTGGCGAATTTTAGGAGCAGGATCTTGGAGGAGAGGTCGTAGACATTCGAGAGTCGCAGAGTCACCAAGCTCCCTTGGAGCTCATGCGCAATGACCTAATCAGGGCAGTGATTAGCGGGCGATTGGTGACGCTGGTTTGCTCATGCAGAGAGGAAGAGGCGGAATCGCAAAGTACCTTGACATCGAGAGACGAAAACCTCTGCTTCATGCTGGTAATTGAGTTTGCGCAGGCCCTGAAGCGTATATATTTGAAGCTTGATGGGAAACTTCAACATTGGCCTCCGTGGGGCACTTTGGCCGCGGGGCAGCTGTGACGACATAAGCATGGGCATCACGTGGCCTGGCATAACGCATAATGGCAAGGAACCAGAGCCGAGATGGGCAATGTAAGTAAGGCTGAGGCAAACATCCTCGCCTTTGGGGAAATAAGAGATTGATTGCTATGGATGGCTAAGATGTAGAATAGTGAGTGTACAGGTATGATCTACAGGTCGCTGTTAGACGAAGCGTGCATTGATGGTATCTAGGTGGAAGACACGGAATGACAAGCTCAGCATAGCTCTAGCACTGACAGCTACGCTACCTACTAAGGTATGCAGAACACCAACTGCTGTGCATTGCTGTGGCGGCAGCTGACGCTGATTTGCAGCACATGCAAGCGCTGAGAGCTGAAGGCAAGCAGAGCCAAAAGACTGGCTGGAAGAAATCTGTCTGAATCTCCGGCTTACGTTTAGCTTTTAGTCGAACATGCAGTCGAGAAATTAGTCTGCCAACAGGTGAGACACTCTGATACGAGTGAGAGGCACTAGAAGTTGCCCAAAGCGGACATAACAGTCAAAGGAGGAGGCTGGTGTTATTAGGGAAGGACCTTTGCAGCCAAATTCCTCGTCGCCTCCTTACAGCTGCGCTCGTAAGCAAACACGCCGACTCAACTAACCGTCGACAAACAACCAGGGCAAAAAAAAATGAAAAGTGAGAAGTGAGAAACAGCAGCAAAAAAGCAGAGATAGAAGCAGACGACCACGCCAGGAGTCGAACCTGGAATCTCTAGAGAAGGTGATTCTCTGAAACCGAAATCTAGCGCCTTAGCCATTAGGCCACGCGGCCGCTAATCTTGAGTTGGTGTGACAGCTGCTCCAATGCACTCAACAAGGCTTCACGCTCTTCCGGGCAAACCTCTGGGGAAACCAGCAGCTGAAGCCATTCGACCGAGGCACATGCGGCCACGATTGGCCCCGCCGCGTCCATGTCACCACTCCAATCGAACGCGAAACTGAGCTTCTTCCTCGGTCCACCCGCGATTCGCGAGAACGACGCGTCGCAGCACAGCACAGCACGGACCTGCTCCCTGCCACCTTGTTGGTGCTGTCCAAGTGGTACAGATTACAGCACGGGTTGAAACGCTGGCGATATCCTTGTCACCCCCCCAGAGCAGAGACAGAAGGATCATCTTGGGCAAATGTCGTCCCAGCAACCAGATAATTGAGGTGGAGAGGGAGACGGGAAGACAGCCAAGGTCCCCAGCATTTGGCAGCTCCTCGTATGCACGAGACGTCGATGCCCACGAGATCCATGCTGATGTTCAGGACGAATGTACGGGCAAACCAGGGGCGCCCGACAGAGCGAGCTTAAAGGCACAGATCTGCCATGGATTGGGCACAAGGCACCGCTGCGTATTCCCGCCAGAACGTCATGGCCAACTGAGAAGGAAATGAGCTGCCCGAAAAGCGGACCGAGGCCTGGCCCGCGACTGGTCGACCAAGGTTGCCAGCCATCTCTATCTGAGCCTGAGTCTGGAGCTAGGCAGGGGCCCCCTCTGGGACCGATCCGACAAGTCTGGATGCTTGTTGCCACCCAGCCACATATTTCGGGTACTACAGCACAGCTGCCGTACAAACGAGTACGCAATTATCCTGCTGCATTAGCATCAAACAGCCCAATGGCGGCTTTACACGATGTCAACACGCACGGGTGGCAGGGAGCGAGCACCCTTTACATTCTGTACGTGCAGCAAACCGCAGCCATAGTCTCAGACGGGCGGCACACCAAGCTGGCCAATCGCAGCCCCGTGTGTGCAGCTCCCCGAACAACGACGGGCTCTCGAGTCTGGCCAGCGAATAGCCAGAGCGCGACAAGATCGAGAGTCGCCCTCCCCCAGCCATCTCTTGTTTTGCGCTGCTGCAGCTAAGACTGCATGTGCATCACAAAAGTGGGCGCTTGATAGACCTCCTCCAGCCGGTATTGGCGAAGGAGGATAAACGATGGACAAAGATGCAGCATCAGCTCGGACGGAGCCTGCCCTCCCTTGATAAGCCAAACTCTTTCCCGGTGGCGCCATACGAGTGCGGCACATGCTGCTGGCAGGACTATCAGTATTACCAGACTCAATGGCACGGCACGGGCTGCTCCCCAACCTCTCTCGCTTGCTGTCTCGTCTCTCTCGCTCTCGCCCGCCGTCTGCTGCCCCCAGAGCCGATGAGGCTGGATCGGGGAACCCTCTAGGCCAGGAACCAGTCGCGCCAAATGATGGCCAAAAGGCAAAGAGGGATGGCCAGAGTCGCGCTTAAAAATGGGCCGGAGCTGACCACACCAATACTTACTGTATGGGGAGCTACCACAGCTACTACGGGGTACTACAGGTACTAGATTACATTACCGGTTTATTACTGCCACTAGTGGCAGGGTAGCCATGAACATCAATCGCCGAGCCTGACTGGTCAATCAGCGGCCGATTCAGGGGGACGCAAGGGAAGCAGGGAAGCAAGGAGGCTGGGGAGCTCTTGGTCGCCCTTGGGGTCCCATCCGCTTACCGCTGGGTTGCAGCATCATGTCCGAAGAGTCCACTGGCGACTGGAGACTCTAGTACGCCTGAGACGCAGCCTCGGGAAACCAGTGGACGAGACGCCTGCTGAGCTTGCTGAGCTTGCAGGGGAGTTGGATGAGGTTGGCTGAATGTGGAGACGATGGCGGAGACGAGAGGCCAGGATACGACCAAGACTAGGCCGCTTGTGATGAGAATAAACAATAACATGGCCAGTCCCGGTGGCAGGTAAACATGGAGGGCCGATAGGCTTACCCTCCTTGGCAACGCAACACAGCGAGCACGCCCTCAATCGCAGGCCTAGCCCCCGACCTCAAAAGCCCATCGAGCGTCGTTGCTTCTGATCCGCCATTCCTTCCCTCCAATTATCTCAATCGCCCACCAGAAACAAAGGAACAAAGAAAGAAAAGACTCTCAGAGGTATCCAATCCCTCTCTCTTTTCTCTCTCTCTTCGACTTTTGTTTCAGGAACAAAAGCTTGAGGATCCTTCTTGTCTTCCTTTCGTGATCTTACGGAAGGTTGTATGAGAAGATTCTCTCGCGCCAGCGCAAGCCGTCAACCTGGACTTTGAAGCCCGAGTTCCCGTGCCCTTTAGCATCTTCCCGTCCACTTATAAGGACAACGAAGCAGCACGCCCTCAGACTCAAATCACCACTCACGAGGAGGTTCAACTAACCCTCCCTCAAAAGAAGCCAGCCGGACGGGAGGGTCAACTCTCTTCTTTCCCCCCAAGCACCGAGCTAGCTCCTCCTCGCAAGGAACACCGCTTTGAAGAAGAGGTCCGTATCACTCGTGAGGAAGAACGTCACCGCCGTCCCGGTTCCCGCCAGTCCGAACGCTTCGTAAAGGAAGAGTTCCGGTAAGTTGATATCTGTTTCTTTTGGTCTTTTTACAATTTTCTCTACCCTTATTCTGTCCCTTGCGGTGTGAGCCGCCGAGGGAGGGAAAAGGGGGGGAAAGGGAGCAAGCGCCATGGGGACCCCGAGTGAGCAACGCAAAGACCGCCTGCCAGCGCGGCTGCTGAAATTGCCCTTCGTATTCTCCTTGCAGCTTGTGCCGCGGCTTCTAGAACGCGTCAATTGCGAGTGGGGATGAGAATGGGCACGGGGAGGGCGGCGGAGCTCACTATGGGGAGCTGACAGCCGGGGTGGGAGTTCAGCTAGGGTTCCCAGCCATGCCATTTTATCCCGGCTCAGGGGTGCCCGGGCCCACAGGTGTTGGCCCAGAGACGAAGGAAGCTCAAGCACAAAAGGGAATCTCTCCAACTAACTCGAGTACTTTTAGACCTATCCCACCTCCTCCTCGAGACTACACTGAGACTCAGGTCAAAGTTGATTCATCTCGCCGCTTCTCCAACCCCATTGACGTTGCTGAGCGCGAATATCGGGAACGTTTCCGTCCTCAACAACCCGAAGCCACTACCGGTCTTGAACTAGTTCAAGTCCGTCGTCCTCACCACCAGAAGTCCTCTACCAAGGTCTCTGACATCACCGTCGACGAGCGTGTTTCCATTGCCCGTCCCAACTTCCGTGAGGAAATCAAGATCACTGAGGAAATCCGCGAGTCTACTCCGTATCCTTCCGAACAATCAGCCAAGATGGGTTACTACGACGACGAAGGTAAGCTACTACTAACCTTTCTTTCTGTTATTGCTTTCCTTCTTTGGTCTGCCAAACGCGTGCAAGCGTACGCTAACGCGTGTCGCCGGTAGGCTCCTACCACTCCATCCGCCAGGATGTCAAGCACGGCGTGGCCAAGGCAGTGGACAAGCTGCTCCCCCATCACCATCACCACCATCATCATCATCACAGTGACAATAATAACACCACCATTACAGAGCACGTTGAGGTCGATGTTGTCCGCCACGATGCTAACTCTTCGCGCCGCCCAGCTCCTGCCACCGAGTCGCAGCCTAACACTGTGTCCATCCCCTGCCACCACATCCGTCTGGGTGACTTCTTGATGCTCCAGGGCCGACCATGCCAGGTCATCCGCATCTCGACCTCGTCTGCCACTGGCCAGTACCGCTACCTCGGTGTTGACCTCTTCACCAAGCAGCTGCACGAGGAGTCCTCCTTCATTGCCAACCCCGCCCCCAGCGTCGTTGTCCAGACCATGCTCGGCCCTGTCTTCAAGCAGTACCGCGTCCTCGACATGGCTGACGGCTTCGTCACTGCCATGACCGAGACCGGCGATGTCAAGCAGGGTCTGTCTGTCATTGACCAGTCCAACCTTTGGTCTCGTCTCCAGCAGGCTTTCGAGTCTGGCCGCGGCAGCGTCCGTGTCCTCGTCCTCAACGACGGCGGCCGTGAGCTCGCCGTTGAGATGAAGGTCATCCACGGCTCTCGCTTGTAAACAAGCTCTGCTTTGTTCGCAGGGAGGGTTATCCACCCATCCTATGGATATTCCAGGCTCGGTTCTAGTCTGAATAATGTGAAATATACCCCATGGGCTTGGAGGGTGCGCGGAATGGATTGTCATTTTTGGATCGGTTAGGGTTGTATTTTGGTTATGAGGCAGAGTGCCCAGTAGATAGGATCTACCTATATGCCGCACTGTAATTAAGATGGATTTTGCATAATGTCCTTGTACCGCACTATGTCTTGTGATTCCATCGTGTTGTGTGATTTCAGCCTTTGTCGCGTATTAATGCACAGCCTCCAAGCGCGTACAGTACCTAAACAACTTGACATGTATCATTCAAGTACCATTAACCGGCTGAGTGGTCATGAGATGCATGGGGAAACCCCACAACTTACCTAGTAGGTACCTGTATTGCTGTACTCGTACACAATGGCTGGTTTATGAGAGCTGATAGCGTTCTCTGCCCGGCCCCACAGTGCCTGATTGTGGCTTTGTGTTGCTCAGTGGTCCTAACCTTGGTACCCAAGCTACCCTATACCAGTATTTGACATTCATGGATCATTTATTTCCGTTACAGATACCAGTAGTATTGCCCAGCAACAGAGAAATATGACCTTGATGGCCAAGTGATTGTAAGCAGGCACCCTAAGCTGGGGACGGGACGTGGAATCGCCAAAAGCAGATAGCGTGGCAAAAGAACCAATCTGGAGGATTATAGCCGACAAATGACAGCCCGCGATTTTGACTTATAGAGAGGGGAATGAGGGGGAGAGGCCGGATAAGCAAAAAAGTATATGCAGATGATCCATGTCTGTGAGATAAGAAGCTGCTCCAGCGTTACGTCGACTCGCTGGTCGTGTGCCGAGAGTTTGCTGCTTCAGATATACTACTCGTATATCCTGTGACATACGCCTGAGAAGGCTGCCACTGTCGGCAAGAGAAGGAAGATACGTGAGAAACACCAAATAATAGCTTCCACGAGTCGTCATCATGGGTGGCCAACCGTCCAAGCCGGTCACGGCGTCGGAGAGCGAGAAACTCATACTGGAGCGCCTCCGCAGCTTCAAGGTGGAAGATGAGGACTATCTCAAAGTCCAGGCCAGCGGCGATGCTGAGAAGACGGAGGGGCATCATGAACATATCAAGCGGGAGCCCGAGGGCCTGCCCGTCTCGTCACTCGAGCTCTGGATAGACAATGTGATGAAGGATCCTAAGAACAGGTGAGTCGACGGGCTTCCTTGAGCGGCGACATGATTTGAGATTCTGACGGCGATGCTTCCTCTTCAGACTGGCGCATGCCACCTTGAGCTCGTCTGATCCTCGGCAAGCTCTGGTTTCGCCATCGGTAAAGATTGCGAACCAGCACGTCTTCAACGTCCAGATCCCGTTTGAAGGCGATCCCATCACCAACCAGCGGTCGAGTGGGCGTTGCTGGCTCTTTGCCTCGACAAACGTGTTCCGCGTGGCCCTCATGAAGCGCCACAACCTGGCGTCGTTTGAGCTGTCCCAGGCCTACCTTTTCTACTGGGACAAGCTCGAAAAGGCCAACTGGTTCCTCGAGCAGATTGTCGAGACCGCCAAGGACGACCTCGACAGCCGCGTCGTGCAGAGGCTGCTCGGGGACATTGTTTCGGACGGCGGCCAGTGGGACATGGTGTACAACCTCGTCGAGAAGTACGGCCTCGTGCCCCAGAGCCTGTACCCGGACAGCTGGAACGCACAGAACTCGAGCATCCTCAACAGCATCATCAAGACCAAGCTCCGCGAGTTTGCGCTGCAGCTGCGCGGCCTGGTCAACGGGACCCCGATCCCGCCGTCCGTCATCAGCGCGTATAAAGTGTACATGATCCAGGAGATTGCACTCATCATGACGCTCCTGCTGGGACAGCCTCCGAAGCCGACCGAGGAGTTTACGTGGCAGTTCGTTGACAAGGACGGCAAGGCTCGCGAGGTCAAGACGACTCCCAAGGCGTTTTCCAAGGACATTTACAGCTCCGAATTCCGCGTCACTTCGGATGTCATTACGAGCATGGTTTCACTGGTCCACGATCCTCGCCACGATCCGCTCAAGAAGCTCACCGTTTCGAGACTGGGCAACATTGTTGGTGGACGGGACATTACATATGTCAACGTGGAAATGGACACTCTCAAGTCAACGTGTGTCAAGATGCTCAAGTCCGGGTTGCCCATCTTCTTTGGCTGCGATGTTGGCAAGTTCAGCGACAGAGTGGCGGGCATCATGGATCTGGATCTATTCGACTACGAAGCCGGCATCAATACCGGCTTGAAGGGCATGACCAAGGCGCAGAGGCTCCAGACGGGCGAGAGTCTCATGACGCACGCCATGGTTCTGACGGCGGTCCATGTGGATGAGAAGACGGGCAAACCAGTTCGATGGAGGGTGCAGAACAGCTGGGGCACTGCAGCTGGTGACAAGGGCTGGTTTGTCATGAGCGATGCCTGGATGGACGAGTTTGTCTATCAAGCTGTTGTGGACCCGAGATTCTGCAGTAAGGAGGTGAGAGATGTGTTGAAACAGGAGCCCATTGTGTTGCCATTGTGGGATCCGATGGGTTCACTGGCTTGAACCACACATCAGTCGTGAGTAGAGTTGGCTCATGGTTATCTATTAGTTCTTATTCCCATGTTGACTTACTGTGTATGCCTAATTCCTGGTTGCAAGTTATAAGTATGTTGAATGAAATGGAAGCAATTTGCAAACTTGTCGAGTCCAGCATCTTTCGGTGTCTGTATCTCATCACGCCTTGCAAGTATGACTTGCGAGATGAAGATGTGCACGTGTAATTGAACCGCTTCCAGAAGGCCATGGTGAGACTGCCACAATTTTACACATGTATATACCAACACACACCTTCAAGGGCAATAGCTGTGTGGCATACAAGTCCAGCTCAGAAACCAGCAATTGACCCGAATACGGCTCGGACGCAACCGTGACGGCTCAGCGTCTCATGGCTTCTGGAATAGTGTACGGATAGCATCCCCCCCCCCCCCCCCCCCCCCTTGTCATATGTGCCCAACCCGCGCTTGTTCTTGGCGGGAAATGGCCGCATTGGGCTTCAACGGGAAACAGGGATCCAGCATGTGCTATTTAAGTGCTATTTAAGTGCGGGACTTGTCGAGCGGGCTTTTGATGTCGATGCTGCCAAGGTTCTGGGAATGCCCAGAGACTGCTTTGCCCTCATCGAGAGACCGCAGAGCAGGGAATACCATGCCTTGCCAATCTTCTCATGGGTGGTACAGCCATGGTGCTGTCCTTACCTAGCGCAGCGTTCTGAACTCTCCGTGCTCGCATGCCCTTGGTTCCCTGCCGTCAAGGTTTGGAGGCGAACCTCGCCCAGGCGTGCAACGGGGATGCGAGCACGCCTCCATGCCCACATATGCCCACATACGGGCGTCCGCAGAGTATCTGTATGTATTTCTTGCCTATGCATGGCATATGCCAGTGCATGCACGTGTCAGACGGGAAGGACTCGAGATCAAGTGCCGTACTGGGATGCCGCATGCCAATAGTTTGACGTATAAGTAGACGTAAACTCAATCCATATCCATATAGGCAAGGCATTAGGGTGAGATGTTGGCCTCCAATAGCATCCCTCTACAGAAGCCATTGCATGCTGAGAAGTCATTCGCTTTGATGGGACCACGTAAAGAGCCATGCTGGTATCTCGGCTAGACAGCAATGGGTGTCACGTCTCTCTGCACATGCTTTGCAAATCGTCCCAAACGGTTGACGCTCTCCCGTAGGAAAAGGCCCGAGGTTTGTTCGAGCCCTTGTCAGGTTGGGCACAAGCATGGACCATTATGGCAGCCCAACGTTACGAATGTGTATTGAAGCCGATCCACTCGAGAATTAGCCATCAGGATTGGCGTGTGGTCTGGGAAAAGACTCCAAGGGCAGCGATCAATCAGACGGCGTTTTGTAACCATCAAGACGAAAGCCGGCGAACTTTGGTTTTCGTATGACGGTGGAGTAAGGTTTTGCTAGTCGGCAGACTCGGTGTAGGGGAGGGAGAGAAGCCGTGGCTACCGACTGATTCCATATTCGACTCGGGTTCACGTAGTCTGTCTCCCACACCACATACCGGAGAAACGCCCTCTTTGCGGATTCCCAATTCAGCAGACGGACATGTCTCTGGGTCGGTAAATTCGAAAGAATCCGGAGGTGACACCAGATCAGATGCGGGATATTAGCTTATCCAGTGCGTTCCTGGCTAATTCCTCGCACGAACGGGTGCGGGAACATGGCTAACCAGGGGGGCCACTCCTCCGGCATGGGAAGGAAAAAAGAAACACCATCTCGGTGCTTGGCTTGGGCACGAGGAGATTGGCAGAGCTATGCACATGGCCCCGATAAGAGGAGGGGGGAAAAGGCAACTGGAGGCGTGCAGTTCAGCTAGCTCTGACGCTGGCGTGGTGGCGATATCAAGTCGCGACGTCATAATCGTATTTGTCCCAAACTTGCAAACGAGGCTATTCCAGCCCACCAGCGTAATTCTGCGCCCAAGGATTCAAGGCAGCTTCTCCAGAACTGCGAGGCCCGCGACCTGGACGTCTGTGCCCAAGGGGAGATGATGGTCCGGATAATTGAGCCCCTTTGCTGGTTTCCACCGTGCCGGCAAGTCGACTACAGCAGATGCCAGCCCGAGAACTCTCTGGTGTCTTCCTCCGTGTTCCTTGGTGTTCCTCCACATCCGAACGTCCGGGAGAAGCTTACCAAGTAGGGCTGCGTCGACAATCAGCGAGCCGAGGATAGCAGCAGAGCTTAATCGTGTGTAGCTCAGCTTAGGCAATTCCCGTAGCAAAGCTTCATTTGTTCAGTCAGTCATCAATCACGAAGCCGCAACTCTGATGCCACCGCAGAGGTTCCACCGCCATCCAACAGCAACTACATTACTGTAAGCAGCTTCTCATCAGCTCGAGCCGCAGCAACGGGCGCTGGTTGGCAACTACCGGACCGCCACTAGGGCCTTGTCCCGCTAAGAATAGGCACATTTAGCACGCTGATCGGTGCACTTACAGCGCCTGTAGTGGTTGGTGGCTTCTCCCTAGCCGTAACCTTACGGGGACTCTGCCCACTATCAACCCCTGGCACTGGACAAAAGTCGTCATATAACCCCAGACCGTTTTGCCTGCATCGCGCACATTAACCGTCTGGTCTGGTGTCCCCTCTCCCTTGCGTCGGGCGAATCACTCACCAAGGCAAACCCTTCCTTTTTTCTGGACCCTGCGCTGCATGGCTCTGGCTGGGGCTCGGGCCTTTGAAGTTTTTTTTTTTTTTTTTTTTATCCCTGCCTGTCTTCAATTCTTATTATCCTCGTAACCGTCCCGTGGGAGACCCCCTGGTAGAGCCGACAGATGCAGTGCTGGTACTAAGGCTGACGGAACCCCGCGATCATATATACAAGGATTTTCTCCCACCAGAATTATTATCTCACGACGTGGACGGCGACCCCTCATTCCTTTGCAAACCCGGCTCTTTGCATTGCCCGGTTGGCTGTGACGGGATTTTGACAGCCGCCCTGTGACGTGTGTCTCTGGCATCATCTGCTTCTGCTTCTGCTCTGGCGCAGGACGCTCTCAGTCTGCCTCCGTTCTACCTACACCCTTTTCTCTATACTGCTGTCGGCCGCCTTTCGCATCTTGTCTAGGGGACACATCGTCTTGTGTCCGGGCCCAGCACCATGACTGATCGATATCGAGGGTATCCTGCGGCTGGCCGGTCCGCCACCTTCAACAACCCGGCCCGGATCTCTCTGCCCGCTGTAGGCGGATATGGAGCCTTGTATGCCAACGACCCGGATTACGTCGCTTCGCCCACGAGATATTCCGCAGCCACGCCCAGAGGCTACACAGCAGCTGCGCCTCCTGCAAGCGTGCCTCCGAGATCGTACTCGACCGTCAACCCAGAGCCGCGGGCTCCCAGGCCGGGCCCTCGTGAGCCCAGCCGCAACCGGCGCTCTACCCTCGATGCGTCCGCCAGGCCTCCCATCATCGTCACGACCATGCAGGATCACCGTCCGCACACTACGGGTCCGCACACTGCCGATGTCCTTGCCGCCCACAGGGGAAGCCCCGTCCTCCAAGACACGTACCGGTCCAGCGACGGGAGGCTCTATTCCCAGCCGGCGTCGTCCATCAGATCCCGGAGCACCGCCCGGCCATACCACACCTCCTCTGCCAGCGACGACTTTGGCCGCTCCCGGGAGCAGGGAGAGATCGTGCTGGCCAGTCGCGACGCCGATGCCTATCGCAACTCTCGGCCTCACGTTGTGTACCCGAGCAACTCTCGCCACAGCAACGCCGCTATTGACTACGGCGATGACGGGTACCAGTATACAAACGCCGGCGAGCTGGTTCGATATGATCTAGACCATGGGGCCGCCCCCGCTCCGGCCCGATCCCGCAGGCATGACAGCTTTGACCGGGCATATTCCCGTCCCAACATCAATTATAACGCGGATCAGCGAAGCTTCAACGTCAACACGACGCTCGATCCCACCCGAGCTAACCGGCCTTACGACAGTCGAGGTGGCCCTCCACCTTCGACCCGTGGGTTTGACAAGATCGGCCGAGCATATGAAAACGTTCCCCCCGCTGCACCAGCTCCCCCCAACCCCAACGCATCTGGGCCGCTGGACGTTGTTGGAGGATCTGCAGAGCAGCGTACCATCCGGCGTCCCAGACCTCTTTCGCTCACACAGGAGCCAGGTGCTCGTGGCTCTCATCCTGATGACTATTACAGAGGCTACGATGATGATGGCTATGAACCCCGGCGCTTCTATGACGACAGCGTCAACGCCCGAGGGTTCGGTCTACGGGTCCAGCCTGATGAAATCGAGGACCCCCGGGGCCGCTACTATGATCAGCGAGACGACCATGAGAGGGATGATTCAGCCAGGAGAGACCATTCTCGTAAGAGAATAGAAGCTCCAGTCAAGGAAGGACAGCGGCCTCATGGTGAAGAAGATCGGGGATCTGACCGCGAGAGGGAAGATTGGTACCGAAATAAAGATAACCTCCGTGAGAGGCTAGATGGCAGGAGAGACGCGGATCAAGAAGACAGTGACCGATCCCGCCGAGAGAAGGTCGCTGCCGCGGGTGCTGCTGCCGCAACTGCGACTGCAGCTGCAGCTGCCAGTGGCCTCTCATCAAACGCCAAGAAAGATGAGATGCCAGAGCCAAGTTCACCACGCAGACGCCGTGCTTCTGATGAGTCTGAAGAGCGAGATGAGGACCGCGAGCGCCAAGCCGCAAAGTCAGAAGCTGAGGCCAGAGATCGAAACAGGCGATCGGCTGAGGCCAAGCTGAATGGCGATTCGGTAGCAGTTGTGTCCTCTGATTCCGACGAGGGGAAGAAGAAGACGGCGCGCAGACATCGTCCCTCTCACAGCTTTGATCCCAACGACACTGGCGATCTAAGGCAAATCCGTGAGCAGCTCGCCGCTGTGAAGACGTCTGACAGCGAGAAGCCCGAAACCAATGGCAAAGACCGGGCATCTCCTCCGGCCAAAGAAGACCGTCGGTCCGAGTCACCACCTGCCGGGGAAGACAACCGTGGGCGCGACCTGGTTCTCCGCTCCCCAGAGGAAAAGCAAGTCCGCGTGGTATCGCCGCCGCGCGAGAAGAAGGAGGAGAATAAGCCCCTCAAGGGCATTCTCAAGCAGCCAAGCGCCAAGTTTCCCGAGGAACTCAATCCCATCCGCGAGGGCGTGGCACCGCACAAGGAGGATAAGAAGTTGAAAGAAGTCCCACCGGGCGCTCGATGGACCAAGATCAATCGCAAGATTGTCAACCCAGAGGCCCTTGAAATTGGCAAGGAGAGATATGAGCTCCGTGATGACTTTGTCATTGTACTCCGAGTCCTTAGCAAGGAAGAGATTCAGGCTTATGCTGCTGCCACGCAAGTTTTGAGAGGTAAGACGACTAATACGCTCCCATACACATCCCCTTCCCCCCTTGTTCACTTGTACTGCTTATGTACATGGCTAACATGTGGACTGCGTGGAAACAGAGAGGCGACGGAACAAGGAGTCTGGTGGTGATCATGACAGCGACCGTGACCGAGACCGTGAATCCCACGGTCGAGATCACGAACGAGAGTATGATGACCGAGATTATGATGGAGAGTACGGACGTGAGTACGATCGCGAATATGACCGGGAGTACGATCGAGAGTACGACGACGATAGGGGACGTCGTGGAAGCCACCGTCACCGCCGTCACCGAGACGACCTCGATGTGGTCGACCCTCGTGAGGCCGATCGCGAACGTGACCGTGACCGTGATCGTGACCGAGAGAGGCGGCGCCGACACAAGCGCGATGACGATGACGAGTATGAGTCCAGATCACGAGACGCAGACCACCACCATCATCACCGATCCCACAGAGAGGCATGATGATGTTTTACGAAAAGCATTCTGGAGCAAGATCGCAGCATTTCCCAGCTTAGGCGTGCAAGCTTGTTATGCGTGCGTGTTGTGATGAGCGTGTTCCGCGAGATACGATGTTGATTATTTGGCGCCTTTTCTTGGGTTCTCTTTTCCTACAACTTTCTTCCTCTTCTTTTTTTTCTCTTGTCTTTTTCCATCTCATCTCTTCATGGGTTGAAGCTACTACACAAGGCGTTTTCCTCGGGTTATATCAAAGTTGTTGTTTTTTTTACTTTTTATACGTTGAAGTAAAATGTTTTTTCGACGAATCTACGCTGGTGGTAGGTAGAGGATTACGTGCCAATGAATGAATGATGGCGAGCGAGAGATTTGGTTTTATTGGTTTCTCACATTTACTCTTGTTTCTCTCTTCATGAGTTTTTCTTCATGAGTTTTTCTTCATGAGTTTTTCTTCATGAGTTTTTCTTCATGAGGTTTTTTTTTTACAATTGGATCTAAGGGAATAAAAGCTTGGGTTGATTTTCTCTTGTACATTCACGTTAACGCTGTGACGATGTCCTATAACTGCTTGCATACAATGTGGCGATATACACACACTATCGTCTATTCCCATCAGCCACGAAAGGGAATCTACAACAACTACAATCTGCTCTGCCGCATCGTCAATCTGAGACATGCCCGCCATCATGGGTACCGGTCGCTTCTTTTTGCCTCTGCGCATGTGCCTGTACTCGTACATTCCTCTTTTCATTGCCCCTCGCATGGCCAAACATGGGGGGGAAGCATGGGCTAGATGCTCGGCTATCCCAGCGAGACGGAGCAACAACTCCATGTCCCGTTTACTCTCAGCCCCAAGCCAGAAGCACGAGCAGTTCCTTGCAGGTATTCCCTCCCCCTTCCCCCTCTCGCATGTCTTGGGGGTGAGGGGGGGGGAAGGCAAAAAAAGGCGTACTAACTACAGTACGAGTATACGAGTAAGTATGTACATACAGTAGAGATTGTCGCCCCCCGAACCCTGTCTCGCCTGGGGAGATACAATGTGTGGCGATTGTGTAGCAGAGAGAAAGAAAAAAAAAAAAGAAAAGCTGGGTTGCTGGATGCTTGTACTTTGTTGCTTGTCTTTGGTGTTACCCCTCCCAGGGCTTCTTTTCTTATCCCGGAGGAGGGGGGGGGGGAGGATCTTTGCGGGCTGTGCTCGTGTATCGCATCGGGCTCAGATTGACGGGAGGGTGCATGTTGCGTGGAACTGGGTTTTTGAGTTATGGGGATGGGGAGTAGATGAGATGGAGAGCAAGAAAACCCCAAAAAAAGTTGATGCTCTTGGAGATGCGATATAGAGTTGTAGGGTAGGTACCTCAGTAGTAGATGGTATTGTTTTCTTAGCATCTAGGTACTTTACATGGAGATCTCGCAATGTCATGCCTGGCAATTTACAAAGTAACATTTGGTTGACTGGGTTTAGTACCTAGGTACTCTATACTTGAAGATTCGCTCCAACAGGTACCTCTAGACCTGCAACCACACCACAGCCCACCCCCTCACCACTGAAAAAAGTTGGTCGCACGACGTGTAAGAAAAAGAAGAGAGAAAAAAGAGCGAGACAAGAAAAGCCCCAAAAGAATACGAAGTTACAAATGACGTCCTCCTCGCCGAATCTCAATGGCCGATCTTCTGGCGTGGTAAAACCCTCCTTGAATCCTTCATTCTTGTTCCCCCCCAACACAATCTCCTTCTTCTTCTTGCCTTGGTACCAGTTACTTGTTTACGAGCACACACCGCATCTTTTTTTTGTTTTGTTTTATTGCCCGTCGGATTCTTTGGTTCTCCCAAGGTCCTCCTTAGACTTGTACTATATCTGCCATGAACCTGGAATCAGGCACTATAATACCAATACTACGGAGTACTCGATATACCCGGTACCTTAGTAGCTAAAGACGAGATATGTCTCTGCTCTCATCGACATTCTCTTCTTTCATCTCCTTGTCCTTCTATGCTCTCAACTCGTACTCGGACTGTACTCCGTGGACACTCCAAGTGTGGTAGCTTAGCATCGCTTTGTAGCCACACAAGTTCCTCTTTTTCCTCTTTTCTTTTCTTTTTCTCTCTCTTCGTAGTGGTGGGCTGCTGTAACTCCAACATGTGCTCATGGTGCCATGATATCATCCATCAGTATCAAAATCCACCTCATTGGGTGGTTCAGTCATTACGAGTACCTGTGTGTGTACCGGTACCGGTACCGGTACCAATACCAGTACCAGTCCTGCCTGTACCTGTTGCCTCCCCCTCTCCAGGCCGCGCACCGGTTTCTGCCAGAGCATCGCCTTACAGCGCCATCAGTGCCAGCCAAGCGCCAAATGTCACCGCTAGTGTCCCGTTACGGGGTCAAACATCACTAACCCGTCTCGCCCAACTGTAGGTACATGTACCTGGTACCCTCGTTTGTACGTGTACGATACCGGGTGGGTACTCTCCTCCGTCTTCTTCTTTTGTTTTAACCCATTGATCCTTTTAGTTAGTGCTTTGCTCGCTTCTTTTCTTCTTTTCTCTCTCTCTGTGTTTTTGCTTTTTATAACGCACAGCGAATTGCCCTTCCCCTTTCCGTCACCGCGTTTGCCTTTCTCTTACCCGCCTGCAAAGCCGGTTTTGTTTTCCATCTCATTCGTTTCCTCCCAGCCCCCAATTATTGGCCTTTCCCCCCCTCATCTGGAATGTCACCACTGCCGTGAGCTGCCAGTCGCTGCCAGCAGATGGCTCGAAACCTTACCAGCACGTCTAAATGGCACACTGACAAGCTGCCAGGCCCCCCTTGATCACACATCTGCACTGCATACGTAGGTATTGGTAGTCCGGGTGCTGTATATCGTGCTGTCCTTGACCCCAGCTCCTGGACAGCAAAGCAGGTACCAAGTACGAGCCCTCGCCCGGACCGGACAGTTGCAACACCCCACACCCGCCACCGTCTCTTGTCCCCCCGGCGAAGCACAAGTATCGTCTACCTGGAGCAGGGGGTGTGGTTTGGCCAAAAATCCTTCCAGGCCCCCCCGCGCCCCTTTTCCAGGCCCTCGCCTCTCCACCAAACCCACCCACACCCCCTTAATCTGTGCAGTTCATTCAGACGCGCAGCAAAAGGGAATCTCACTACTTCTGTCCTGGACCGCCGACCGGCTTCCTGTCTGCTTGTTCCCGGCGCGTCGTGGCGGTTTGCTTTATACCTTGCAGGTAGTGCCAGTGGAAGTACCGGTACCGGTACCTGTCGACTCCCTGGACGGACTCTGTGGCATGGGCATGGCATGGCATAGGATTGAGTCTAATAATATGCACTCGACATCTGCCAAAGCTCACCCGTTAGCATCGGCCCACTCTCTCCCCTGCCCGACAGTGCAAGGTCAGCAAAGAACAAGTCTAGAAGAGTACGATACTCGTAGAAGCAAGCTGTGAGCAAACAGGCGGTAACAGATGCTGGCAGATGGCACTCCGTCCTGTACCGTACGAGTACTCCCACTCATGATGCTGCTGCTCTGTACGGGACGGTGTGATGGATCGCGTCCGTCTGGACTCGCTCATCAAAGGGTAGCTGCGGTTTAGCATGCTCGTACAAGGACCAGCACTGTCCAATGCCAGTACCAGTACTTGCGGTGGTATGCCGCTTGTACCACTCCGTTCTTAGCAGACTTCCTGTTAGCCTCACATGATGCTGTCGCATGTGTTCTCCAGTGTGCGCATAGGTACCTACACACACACATACTGCATGTACAGTATGTACTCGTACTGCCTGGAAAGAGGCAAACCAACACGGCACATGGAAATACGCACTCGTACCCAGACTGCCGTGTCCAGGCCTGTACTGTGCGTACTCCGTCCCTGTTCATCAAAGCAAAGAGGCTTCAGCGTCAACCCCGGAACACGCCGGTGCTCTCTCCCCTGCCCTGTCCTGCGCTTATTCCAGCCTCCATGCTTTGATAAGTCACAGAGCATCAATCCCGCTCTTCATCATTTGTGGCTCAAGTTCGTACCTGGCAGCTGGATTAGCAGAGTACCAAGACGAGTGTTGAGCATCTTTGATTGATTTGCACAAAGTACAGTACCTCAACGGGTATTCCATACTCCAACCACCAGCCCCTCTTTCAAAAAGTCCCTCCAGAGCATTACCAATCACACGGATTGTCCAGCTCCAAACTTTAACAATGCGCTCATTTGTCCTTCTGCCTGCGGGTTTTTCTCTCTCTCTTGAGCCCTTATACTGCCATATCAAATTTCCCCAATGACGACCGGGTATAGTCGCCCCCACCCCTTCATCACCATCTCACCGTGCAAGAAAGAACCGGACCAATGAGCCATGTGCCAGGTTGACGCAGAGCCTGCTTTAGTTGATATGGTGGGACGCGTTCTTTTCACAAGAGGGGCAGATGAAGCCGTTTGAAGGTTCGATATTGATGGCGGTGGGTAGCTGGTACCTAGCGTAAGCCACTTGATAGCACCAAAAGGTTTTTACATTGCCAATGTCATATGTAATTGACATGAGTTAACGGGGATCGGCGGGCCGTTGCGGTGCCCATGCATAATAATAACATGTCAGGACGTATGATTAGTCTTGGAGCTATCGAACGCCGCTAAAAGAGAGTCAACAACAAGTACGAGTATGTACGAGTACTGCAGCAAATTGGGCAAAGAAAGGAGAAATTGGAAAAGTGGGTGAAAACATGAGAATGCCCACTCCGAATTGCTCTACTCGGCGAAATAGCAATAATACCACTTCGTGCCCTCTGACAAAGCGCGGCTGCTCCTCAAGACTCCTGTTTTAGAACATGTCATATGCCATTGGATCGTCAAGTCGTGGCGGACAACAGGGCATGCTGACCGTCGGTAACGGAGCGAAGCTGATTCCGAGGTGAGAAGCGTCAAGTCTCCGTTAGCCCTCAAAGGCACAACTCGCGCCAGCAGCAGGCTAACTCGTTGCGGCGAGAGTGCACGCTTCTCTCTCTCCACTGTACCGTGGCGAATGGTGC